TGATCTGATTAGTTTGGACTTGTCTATTTGTAAGCAAATTTCTATAAAACTCTAAAATGGAGACTTGAATTTAAATTGGAAATATTTAACAGTTTTTAGACATGGAGCATTTTCTTTCTCTGTTATAATACACCAGCAACATTCTTTTCAATGACATTTAAGTGCATTCATGTTTGAACAGTGGTAACAAGATGAAAAATGTTCAACAGGCTGACATTATATTAAACCTTCATCTATTAAATTCAACGAATGTTTACCAAGTTGCCACTGTGTGCAAGGCACAGCACCTCATAAGATTCTGGGAAGAACAGAAAAGGTTGTACACAATACCTTCCGGAGATGAACATCAGGAAACGCAATAGGACAAGCAACACCGCATGGGCAGACTGTAGTGTGTGCTGTAGTTGTAAAGATACAAAGGAGATAGAGGTTATGCCATCTGTTCCTTCATGTCACACAGTTACTTGCTTGTAATGATGGTCCAGAATACACAACGACAAGAACCACCAGAAAGTACACGAAAATAATGGATTAAGAAATTTATTGGAAGTTAAATAAATAAAGTCAATAGAAAATAATGGAAAGGTAAAATAAATTTATAGAAATTTTAACATTGCATAACTATATATGGTGTGAGATGGGTACTAGTCTTTTGGGGGGTTTGCTCGGTAAATTATATAAATGTCTAACCACTACATTGTATACACCTGAAACTAATAGAATATTGCATGTCAACTGAAATTAAAAAGAAAATTTTTAAAAAGTCAGATGTGACAAATTTTAGAGTACAATTTATCATAGTCTTACAAATATACCACAATTATTTTCATTTGCGTATGTCCGAGGTTTCATGTCAAAGATGCAGTGTGGGTACAGAGACGCCCTGTAACGCACGGACAGGGGAGCGGTGTGAGTGTGGCCTCAGAGCCAGGCAGACCGCTCACACCGCAGGCTGTGGGGCACGGGACCAGGCACATCTCTTACCTGCCCCACGTCAGTCAAGCCAGGTGTCCGCAGCTGGGAAATCAGAAACAACAACAACAACACTGCAAAGCCAATTTCACAGGCGCTCATGGGGATTAATAAAAATACTACATAAAAAGTGTGAGCAGTTGCCACAAAATTAGGGCTCAAGAAACAGTGGCTCTTAAAATCATGACCGCCCTGATCCGACCTTCTATCTCATTCTCAGCTTTCCTTCCCACAATTGAAAGCCTCGCCAGATATTCATGCGATATTGGCTGGACATACCAACAAACAGGTAGATAAACTCTAGAGAGCAGAATACCAGCAGACCACGCAGCATCTTCCAGAATTTCAGCACCACGATGAAGACATGATACCCGGGGCCTGGTGCCACTGCTCTGGGCCAATGACAGTCCCTGCTCCCCTCCGCCTGGTGGCAAAAGGAGACACACAGGCACCGTGGCTCCTGCCCACACCATCCTGCACACGGCGGCCTCAGGGACTGGGCAGCCCAGGAAGCAGCTTTGGTACCAGCTGCAGACAGCACCGGGGGCAGGGGGCGACGAGGAGCCACAGCGAGACCCGGACGAAGCGCACAGGACCCCTGGTCAGGGCTCTGAGGGCTAGCCCGCCCGCGGGACTCGTGCCCGCAGTGTAAGTCCGAACCTACGGCTCGGCCGGGCGGGATGGCAACTGCGAGAGAAAAGGTTTCCATAGGATCTGCTGTCTCCTCACACAGTAACCAAAAGTCCGGCAAATAGTAAAAGATCCCTCATCTTGTCCCAAAGCAGGAAAACCACACAGATGAAAAGACGCTCAACTGACCACAAGACTGAGCTCAATGAGACATTAGAATCATCTGACAGGGAAGTGCTTCCGGAATCAACTCTAGATGCTCTCAAAGCCAATGGGGGGAAAAAAAAAATCTCGAGAAAGAAACAGGACGTATAATAAAGAACCAGGTGTTAATTGTAGGACTGAAAAATACAACCATGGAAATAAAGAAAGAAAAAAAAAACTTGCTGGGTGGTCTCAATAGTAGAGTGAAGATGACAGCGAATGCCGTCTGTGACCTGAAAGGCAGATCAGTAAAACTTACTCAACATGAATGAGAGAGAGGGAGAGGGAGGGAGGGAGGGAGGGAGGGAGAGAGAGAGGGGAAAATGAATAGAGCCTGACTAGAGCCCAGGGGTCTATGGAGCAGTAACAGTCTGATGATTCGACGCTGTATCCCTGAAACGCCGGCAGGTGCAGAGGAACAGTGCAGGACTGAGGAAGTGTCAGAATGGTGGGCGACAAGCTCCCAGATCTGGCAGTAGGCATTGCATTCACATGCTTAACTTTTTACAAGCGCTGTTACGGTGCCCCTTCCACAGAACGTGGAAACGGGCAATCGACCTCGGACCTCTCTGTCCCTGGGCAGTAGTTACCATAGGCACTGTATCTCCGTGCATTGTATTAGACGATGTTAGAATGGTTTTAAACAGCCTCATGTGTTTTAAAGGCGGGGGGCAACAATACTAGTTTCTATTTCTTTAGATCTTTTCCATTTCAGACTTTCTGATTGCTTCTTGAAGACCTGACTTCCCTCACTTCCTGTAACATTTATTCAGGGACCATACTTAACAAGAGCTGCTATAAATCCTTACTTGCGAATGCCAACATCTCTGTCATCTTGGGTCGGCTGGCTGTTTGTCTTCTCTCCGAAACTGGGTCATGTCATTTTGAGCCCACGTTGCGTAATTCGAGGTGACTTCTGCACGCTGCCAATGTCATGCGGTGGAGACCGTATTTGGTATATTCCTCTGCAGAGACGGTGGCTGTTTCTCTGTCAGCAGGCACTTACTTTTGGTGGATTCAAACTGCGAATTGCCTTGGGCGGCAGGACGAATCGGGGTCCAGTTCTTTCATCTGTAGCCTCCCTGTGATTTGTCCGCCCCACCCATGAGTGTGTGGCTCGGGGGTGCGTTGAGGACACAGGCAGGGCTGACACGCAGACCTCGGGGCTCCCCTCTCGGGGCGTCTCCTGCTAGCGGCCGCGGTTGCTCAAACCGCCTGCTGGCTCTTCAGGCCCGAAAGACTGCGGGCTGTCTGCCCCGGTTTTGGCCAGCCCGCTTATGCTGACTTCCTGCCGCCCTCAGGATTCAAACTGTAAGATGCGGGCCATCTCCCCCAGCGGCTCCTTTCTCCCACATCTTGTACTCCTCCCGAATCGGCCTGCTTCTCTTCACTCTCCAGTACTGTTTTTGATTTCATCCAGAATCTAGAGTTGGGTTCAGCCTGAGCTTCCTCCGTAAGGGAAGCAGAAACCTCCTTGAGATTTTGATGTTAAATTTTGTTAAAACTCAAAATTGAGTTTGGAAGAATGCCACTCTTAGGCCATCTATCCTTGCCCTGGATAGGTAGCTCAGCTGGTTAGAGCATTGTCAAGGTTGCAGGTTTGATCCCCGGTCAGGGTACAAACAAGAAGCAACCCGCGAATGCATAAATAAATGTAACAACAAATCAATGTTTCTCTCTCTCCTTTCCTCTCTCTAAAATCAATTAAAAACAAACAAACGAGCAAACAAAAACACTCATCCCTTCTAAGCCAGATCCTATTTTGTCTATCCATCTGGTTCTTTGAGGCTTCTCAGTAAAAGTTTCTTCATATAAACCATGTGTATTTCTTATTAGATAAGCATCTAGGTTTATCATATTGAAATTGAGTGGGCTCATTTGCCTATTATTTCCTTGTAATGACTTTGGCGACTGGAATTCATGGTGGCCCGGCTTGCCATTGGCCTTTCCCCTCCTTGTCACAATTAATGTGCAGTTTCCTTCTGAAAGCACAAGGCAATGTCACCTCCTGTCAGCGAGATCGTCAATGGTCCCGTCTGGTTCCTGGTCTGTCCCGTAGAGTCACTGCCCTGGCGAGCTCTTTGGGTTGAGATCGCCCATCTCAGGCTGGTGCTACCTGTCTCCTCGCTGCAGAGTTCAAACACATGTAGACTGCAAAGCAGGCCCTGTCCTGGCTGGTAACCTCATGCGCTGCGAACTTCTAGGCTGTGTAAGACTGTCCAGGGACAGGAGGAAGGGGGGGGGCGGGTCAAGCCATCCCCCGTATTCTTTGCTTTGCTTTGCTTTTCTTAAACAGGTTGAACCACTGTGAATGGAATTTTCCACAAATATGCAGAAATACCTTAGGACGGAGGCTCTTCTTTTCTCTTGGAAAATAATCATATAGCTACCTGAACCAAATTGGAAAGGAAAAAAAGAGGCAAGTTAAAGCTAGAAATAAAATAGAGCACATTGTTGAGCTTTTGAAACTGACTTCGTTTTAAAAAATAATTAAGACATTAAAATCAAGATCATAAAAATCTAAATCAACTTCACCTCTAAAGATATAGATAATTTCTGTTCTTCAATGTCAGTTGTATATTCTGAGTCACCACAGGTTTCCACAAAAATGCATTTGAAATAAGATAAGTGTTTGGCATGTCTATAGCATGTAATGGGAACTTGATGTTTGTTGAATAAAATAAAGAAAAAGAAAATACTCTTTTCCGTTAAGGAGATCTCATTTCTTAAATCTTTTTAAAGAAAACAAAAAGTACCTTTAATCACATATTATGAGTAGGGGCAATACCTGACAAAATTATTTATTTCGGACAGAATAGCTTATTATTTTATTGTACTGCATAATCCTCTCCTAAAAGAAATAATTTCTTCCTCAAAGAAGTTACAAGAGATCAAGTGCATACTAAAAATATTTTATTGTCATTAATAAATACATTAAACATACATACTAACTGTAATAAACTATACATTTGATAAAACACAAACAGCATTCATCAAAGTTAAAATTAAAAAACCAGCCATAGAATGGAAAGGTGGCATACATTAAAAAAAAAAAAAAACACCATTTTTCAAACACTGCAGTAACTTTACAATGCGCCATAGATATTCTTCAACCTTTATATTACACAAAAAGGGACTAAACATATGTAGTTTCAAGAGATTAAATATCATACATTTTACAGAAGGGGAAAATATTAGCATCCTGGAGTGCTGTTCGTTCCTGGTCCATTTTCTACCCACTGGAAAAAATTGCACTGTTTTTCCTTACCAAGAGGACACGCAAAAAAATTCTTCCCGTTGTTAGGCCCCATCTTCCACACCGTCCTCAGGACGGAGCGCTTGCCGTGCTCGCAGAGCGGGAAGGACAGGTCTGCCCACTGCGGGGACAAACAGAGAGATCGAAGGGTCGAGAGGAAGGTGAGAGCAGCGTGGGGCTGAGCCCGGGCGCCTGTGGTCACTGCCGTCCTATCGTCATTGCTGTGACTATTACTCTGACATCGTGAAACCAATAGAAGCCATTAGCCGTTACGCTTTAAAAAGCTTAGATCCTATAAGAAGTACCCCTCACAATTTTTCTGGAATCACACAGAAAATTGCCATAATTCAGAGCTTCCCTTTATCTGGCTGTGAAGCAAACACCCATGTTCCTGCTATAGATCTGTTTCAGTTAAAACCATTCAGATCAAAGAATTGTCATGATTCTAATACTAAACCTCCTTAGTCTCTTATGAAAAGAACGAATCAAGTACAGAGTCACTTGAACTAATTTAGGAAGATTCTACTGTATTACTCTTATTCTTACTACTTTTGACCTCAAGACAGGTGTGAAGCAGGCTGTGATATTATTAATATTGCTAATAACATTTCTTCCATTGCCTCTACAAAAGCTTCCCCAGAAGGCAATTTGTACAGTAGGATGGAGTCAGTCCTGCGCAGGGGTTAAGATCTGATATTATATCAAATTTTCCCTAGGAAGATATCACATGGAAGACATTTTCTCTCTCGATAAGGCCAACCAGGAAACTGCTCCAGCACCACATCAGGTCCGTATTTTCTTTTTTTTCCAGTTAAGCACCCAATGAAGCAGTTGAGAAGCATGTATCTATACCCATGAGAGCCACACTCTGCATAGCGGGAGGCCCACACTGAGGGACGCAGACAGTGGAAAGGACTAGAAGGACCCGACTCTTGCCTCCATAGCATGTTCATTTTCAGGGGTGTGTGCACAGATCAAAAAGGCGTGAGGAATCGCCTGGGTCCACATCGCTATTGTGCCTTTGCCTTTGTTGGGTCAAGCTCGAGTAGGAGGCGTCACTAAGTTTATTGTAAATTCAAGGCCTGCAAATGATTTTTCACATGTACCTCTATCCAGGGCGTATGCCGAAGGCTTTGCTAACAGCACTGAACTGAGGAAGAGCAAACCCGTCTCTTGATTTAGCCTCCTGGAAAATTTTCTCAATACCTTTCTATCTTTATAAACCAAGGACAACGCTTCTATACTGTGGTTACAAACACGAGACACTCTACTAATACAATAGCCACTATTTGATTAATTTTTTTGAAAAACCTCCTTGAATTTTAACTTAGTTCAACATTCAGTCTTTAGACTGACTGCCAAAAGCGCTACTTAAGGGTAAAGCCAGCAAAGGGCTGCTACTCGCTCCATTCCAGTAAACTAAGTATTCAACTACACCATAGTAAGCTTGATAAATCTTACACTTACTTCAAAAAATCCACACTGCGCTTCTCTAGGCAGAGCACATGCGTAAAACCGCCTGCCCTTGTTCTCGCCGTCCTTCCTCACCACGCGGAGGACGCAGGGGCGCTGGTGTCCACGGCAGCGAGGGCCGCGAGCGGCGCACGCCCAAGCATCGAGCGTCTTGTCGGTCGGAAGTCCGCTGTAACAACAGGTTACAAAGTGTGTGCAGCACAACGGCGCCGAGGCGATCGCGCGCAGCTCCTGCCCCGTGTTAGAACCCTGTCTGTGCAAGGAAGCCCTGCGAAAAGCGGGCCGCGGTGCACTCAGCGTAACCACATGACCCGCGGTCTTAATTCTTGGTTTTTCCCAGGCAAGACTAATTCACCTCTAAAGCGACCTGTGGGCGTAAAGCGCGTCATTTAGATTTGTGGAGCATGAACACACAGCTGAATTATGCATGCAAGATGTCCAGCTTTGTAAGTTTTCCTTTGTGGTCACCGGTTCTTCTCTTACCCGACATCAGTGTGGTCACTTTTATTTCTTCTAAAATATTCTCAAGGCCGGCGGCCCCCTTCCCCCACAAAGTAACTAGACTTACAATCTTCTCTGTTTTCTCATTGTCGGCAAACTCTCAGCGAGGCTCTGATGAGGCTAAAGTCACTCTTTCTACTCTCCACTTGGCAAACAATTTTGCATGCTTTCCTTTGATCGGGTGACTATGATAGTTGCAGTCCTGTTTTATCAAGAAACAGGCAGCCGGGCAGAGCAGAACCTAGTGTGATGTGAAGCAAGTCGGGAAGCTTCCTTCCCCCCAACAATCAGGACCAAGAGCACCTGAAGGTTCTTCCTGCATAGAAGGTCAAGGCCAGCCCCCTGCCCCGCAGCGGTGTGTGTGAACTTACTCTTTGAAAAGGAGCTTCATGATTACTTTTAACCTTTTAAAATATGTTGTGTATTTTTAATAATGCCCTTATAAGAGTCTTTTTAATAAACTAGTTGAAGAGAAAGAGAGCTCACATGAATTAAAACCAGGGGTCCTTCACCTTAATACCCCTACTTTGTACCTTTTTAATGACAAAAAGGTTCATCCTTTCTTATTCTTTAATTACTAAGGAACAAAATATCATTTGTAAACAATTTTCAAAAAGCCCACATGCAAAATGTTTGCTATGTTCTTTTGAAGGCGGCTGTCTGAGACAGCAATTCGTGACACACTTTCTAATCCATTTGCACCATCCTAGAACTCTCCAGGGTCCCCGCAGGTGGAGGCTGAAGGTGGAAAGGAAAGGCCCAGTGTCGTCTGTAGGCTTGTCACCTCTGCATTCCGCTCCATTTCTTCCTTGGCACAAAGTTTAGGAGAAAAACAGCCGCATGCCGTCTTATCTTGTTTCAGAGTGTGGTCCGTGGACTGGAAGCACCAGCATCAGGAGGGAAGCCCTGGGACCCACAGGATTATCAGCCCTGGCAGAGCCGCAATCTCCATGGTAACAACACTCCGGAGTAATTCCCAGGCCCGTCAAGCCGCACTGACCTGAGTTGATGTAGACAAGATACTGATGCCCCCTGTGATCACACGGGCCCCAAAGGTGCTCAGCTCATCTTAATCGTATGATAGGAAACAGTATCCAAAATACTTAAACGTTCTGATTGAGGGCATCTTGGTCCCTCTTTGTGTCAATCATAATTTAAAAATTTCCCAAGCTGTAGCAGAGCATTTACTTAGGTAAGCTCTTATTTAGATAATTAGGCTTATAAATGGTCTAGTAATATAATCGATCAGGGGTGGGCCCATCTTTTCACATAACACATACTTTAGGGTCGTGGGTCTCGTGGCTTGCGGTGTTGCAGCACGACAAGCAGCCACAGTGAACAAGGCAACCCAGGGGCAAAGGATGTGTTCCAATAAAACTTTATTTACAGGAACAGGCGGCATGCTGGCTTCGGCCCTGCAGCTGTCGTTTGCTTGGCGAGAGGTCATTAGAACCCAGGGCAATGCTTGATACACCAGAGATTCTCCATCAATACTTGTTGATTAATAAACAAGTAACATTGAACAGAGATCAGATTAAAACTATTATAAGGAAGAAGGACATTATCAAGCCCAGGTTCGTAATTTCAAAATGGATATTATTTTTTTCAGTGATCAACTTATTATCATGGTTTAACTGGTTTTACAAGGTCCACTTTTTTTTGTCAATGAATCAATCTCATTGGGTATAGATTTTGTAGTGTAGTGGTGTTACAAGAATTAAAACAAAACACCAGAGGTTAAATGACTCATCCTGGATGGACCCAGGTGGCTCTGAAATCCTTGGGGACGGAAAATTCTCAAACGTGACCCAGAGACAGGTACAGTGTCAGCACCTCTCTGGTGATTAGAGGTAGAACATGGGCAAGCAACCCAGGCGGCAGCAGACGTGAGGAAAGCAGGGGCTTCTGTGTCACACGCCTACGTGAGCCTTTGCATCAGTCCAGGAAAAAGTTTCGCCTAAAACACATCTGTTCTTTGAAAAAACGTATTTCTGTGTTTTGCTCTGTATTTACAATAAGCAGAACAAAGACTTCAAACTGCATCTGGCATTTATTCTTTGCTGCTTAAAACCGGGTTTAACCATCTGATTTATAATCCAGTTAGCTGGATAAAATTCAAGTACATCTAAAGATCAGTCCGAAAATATGCCTCATCAACATGTGTTGATGAGATCAGTAATTAAAAGAACAAAAGGCAAATTAATTACCCTGTAATTATTAAAGAAAAACTACGCTGGCTATAAATTCTCTGAGTGGACCACCTGCTCCAATCGTATTATGTTGTGAGCCTCTGCTGGGCATGTTGTCCATAAGATGAACACTGTAGCTGCCAGACAAGGAGAAAAATGAAATAAATGACAGTAATTTGCAATTTATCCCTGGTAAAGTAGCTGGGTGCAGAAGGGCTGCTGGGTAAGCATATTTCATCACTTGACATTTATTTTGCTAGTTGATCTTGACCGATTTTAGAGGCTCGGTCCTGGGCTGCTTGCGCCGACGCAGGCAGGGCTGCAGCTTTCTACGTAACGCCGCGCACTGTGATTCATCAGGTGACCCTATTGCTAATGGCTTGTGGAGAAACTGTGTAAATTTAAGGTCACATTAATTTTTTTTTTTAATCCCTAATTCATTAGTTAAATCGTGTGAGATTTTCTAGAAAACACTAAGGAAATAAAAATATGCCAAGATATTTCATCTGGGTACAGCAAATGCCACAATATGTTAAAATGATCACATCGACTGCTTTCCACTTGAGCTACAGAAGAGAAAAGCCTATTCAAAAATGACTTTCCTATAGGATTGCTCCCGACTCAGACACCCTTATCCAGCTCCTATGCACTTGCATCATGAGACACTAATTAGGGTTAGAATGAGAAGGAGGCATCCTGACTGACCCAGTCAAGGTCTGGTCCCCACGGTTTAGTTCAAATGTCTATCACTTGAGAGTATTATGGGCCAAAGTTAAACCGGTTATTATAAATGATTACAAACAAAAAATTTTTTAAAGATCAGTCAAGGATAAATCATCGGGATTAATTGATAGTGAATTTAGAGTTGGGATGGGAAACTTGCCATAAAAACATCTATTGACCAAAACGGTCTCAGAACTCTGTTACACTTGGAGGATTCTCTGCGACTGTTCTAGGGGTGTACACCAGGTGGTCCCTTCCCTCGCTGCCCAAAGGAAGACTCTCTGCGTCAGCCCCGGCAGAACTCATCGGAGATGCCAGCAACCAGCATTCCCCACCCCCTATAACGCCAGATCCCACCCCCTAACTCTCTGCTCGCTTCCCATTGGCAAGAAGGATGCACAGGAAGAAGACTCTTCGCCTTCACTTCACTTACAAATGCTGAATACACAGCATCCTCTTTCTGAAGGAAAAAACCCTCAACACACAGCTTGGAAAAGAAAATCGTGGAGAGATTCTCTCTGACGTAGGCCGCATCGGGGTGGGACAGCCGAGAGGCCCAGATAAAGGACTAAACAAGGCGGGGAAGGCATGTGGACAGGTAGAGTCACCAACTGCCAATCATCACTAAGGAAGAAGAGATGCCATTTTTATTAAATTTTCTCTATCTTGGTGTCAGCAACTGGGGTCTCTTAGATGAGCTAGTAGTCTTATAACACATATCTGCTTGGGCAGTACTTACTGTCTGGAAGTCCAGCTCTTTCCTTTCAGATACACAGGCTCTTTGGGCCTTTTTGGTTGAAACAAAAAACCCCATCTCACATGGCTACTTGACATACAACCACTTTCTTTAGCAGAAATATCACTATAAGAACCTCAGATCCCTCTCTTTAAAATAGAAGACATTTACTAAACTGTTATAAATGGTAGTCTCCCTTTTACAAAAACCTTCTTTCATTGGACGGAGATTTTTTAAAAAAGAAGGAAAACGCTAACAGTGGTGATTGATAACCGGTAAGACTATGGGCAATTTAAACATTTTTCTTTATACTGTCCCAATATTCTGTATTGAGCATGTATATGGTTCCAGTCAGAAAAGAATTAACTTTTTACGGATGTAGGAGATCCGGTTTCCCGTCCCCTTCCCCTCTCTTACATCACAAGCTGGAGAGCCTAAAAGCTCATGGCAGTAACCATCTTTCGGGGTTTGCTCATAGGACCACCACCAACTCAGCTTCCTCAGCCACGGAGGATGTTTCTGCCTTCTTGACACGTAAGGCAAATGCCTTGAAGACCAGGGGTAGAAACGTCATACCTGTTAGAGAGCCCAGGGCTGACACTTGCGAGACTCGGCGATGAGTACTGGGGTGTTCTCAGTTTTTGACGTGCTGGACGAAATAACTTTGGCTGAGAGCAGCTGGTGGGGGAAGCGGTTACTGTGTGAGGCTGGAGAGCTGTATCGTGGGCTCTCTTCTCAGAACGGGAAGGTGTAGCACCAAAACAAACGGTATTGGGAGCTGAGTTTTGAAGTTCCCCATCTGGTATCTGGTTTTGGCTTTTGTTTCTCTCTAAAGGGCTGGATTTATTGCTGAAATCGGTCAAGATGAGAGTTGTAGTTCCAAACGCAGTTTTCCTGTTGATCTTCACTTCGGTACTTGGTTTTCCAAAGCTATTACAGGGGTACTTCACTAAATGGTTAAAGGCAGGAGAATTTTCTTCCCTCTTGAGCATCGAATCTGGAAGGAAAGAGAAGTCATTCTGCAGTATTCCTATAAACATAATACTGACTATGTGAAACATCTTTTTATTTGATTAAAACATTTTGTTCACTTATTACAGTGAACTAATATACAGAACTAATAACACCAAGTTAGCTCAAGCAGTTCATAATTAATCTTCCGGTTAGGAAAGGAAGCATGAAGTACAAAATTTTTAACAACTGGGACTTAGAGTTGGGTTTAACAAAGATGTATATTGGCTTTGTATTATGTTTGAGCATTTAACCATCATTCGGCTCTCACTTTTGTGACTATAGGGCACAGTGTTAAAGCGGGGACCGAGAGGTGACTTCGCTCAGAGCTTAGACCAGCAGGTAGAGGCTGGCATCCAGGCTGCCGGGGATGTTTCTGGGGACAAGACAAAGCGAAAGGCTTATTAAAAATAAGCCAAGATGAATGGCAAAGATGTAACATTTATTCAAAATGTTTCAATGAAGCATTCCAGGATATTAGAATCTGTACTATAATATGTCCTGGATTACAGTTAAGATAGATGTATATCCTACACAGATTAAAAAAAAACAAACCCCACAACAACAACAAGAAAATAGCGAGATGTGTAAAGGCATTTCAGGATGTTGAAGTGTGGAAACCTAAGACTGTGGTTTTCTGAGGGCTCTCTACTGAAGGATTCTGAAGAGGGAGCAACAGAAACTGGAGGTGCGGTCCCCTCGGCTCTGACCCTCCGTGTCCCGGGGAACGAAACACGATATGACAGCTAATACAACGCGGGGGTCCGTATGTTGAGAACATAACTTTCTCATCTCTAATTGGAGACAGAAATAAGACTCTGAGAGCACAATAGAAGCCACAGACTCAAGATGGTTCTTAATCACAGGTCTCCTTGCAGGTTTCACTCTCTCTAAACATATGAAATTGTGAGCCACAAAGAGTTATTTTGAAGTGTGTCAATGAAATCAGTACAATTGTCTAAGTAAAGATTTTAATAACAACGGGTAGGAAGGATAAAGAAGAGAAAAAAAAAATCAGCCTTTTTCTATTCCACCTGCGAAGATATTCTTACAGAAATCTTCCCTTTCAATTTATGAAACACTTGGGCTGAATAACAAACCCAAAAGTTGCTGAAATCTGCATAAAGCAAAGCTTTATTGAATAATTCATCAGCAACAGTAGAGAACAGATGTGATCATGTCAGTTTTTTGAGATACAAGAGGCACATATTTTTTTAGCACAAGCATGTTTTCCCTCCCTCTCAACAGCATATTAGCATGGTTTACACGCAAAAGCTGGCGATTGCGGTACATCTTACAGAAAGAAAGCATTTCCCTTAGTTGGAAAATAGCGAGACAGAACAAGGAATATACCTGACGTGGTAGAATTAAACCTCTTTGCAAAGGAATGAGTTCTAAGCGCAAACTCAGTCTCACCGGGAGGCCAGGCCGTCAGGCGAGCGTCACACGCGTTGGAAGCGGGCTTGCTGGCCAGCAGGCAGACCGCACAGGCCCAGCTCTGCTCGCGTCCCCCCGCCGCAGGGTCCACCGCACCGGCCCGTGTGCTGGCCGGCCGGCCGGCCGCCGAGTTTCTCCCTGGCAGCTTGCTGGAGAGAATTTTTACAGCAAACCATGACCACTGTTGTCATTGCCTTGTTCTTCCACATTCTTAGTATTTTAGAAACTACTTCGGAACCATGCATATACCCAAATGGTACATGTGTATTCTGGCATACAAGTTGGAACTATCTCAACAAAAGGTTTTCACTTGGGCCCTACTGATGGCTGTTGAAGACAGAAATACCACATTGAAGATTTTATTCAAAGACTTGAGGTGCTGTTATTATTTTAAACCAACTACAAATACCGACTTCATCACTAGGAAGCATGTCTCAAATAACTTTTTAATTAAGCGATACTCTTCCCAAAGCAAAACTACAATATCTTGATTCAGCCAAATTAGGGGAAAGAAAGAGGCACAGGGAAATTTGAGCAGAAGAGTAACGTGAGCAAAGGTTTGCACTTACGTCACACACCTCAGGGGTTTCCCAACAGTGCCTGCGAAGCACCACGTCAGCAACCTGTTCGGTGATTTTGGCCAGGATACGGGCACTCCTGCTCTCTCTCATCAGGTAAAACTGTTTCATGTCGAGTATCTCATGAAGAGATTAGTGAGGAAACAGTAAAGGCAACCCTGACTTGGGGCCACAAATGTAAATCATGAGTCTCTACCTGGAATTCTTCCCTGAGTTTTCATTGTAACACTCAACGCCTTCCTCGGTGAGGCTCTGTGTGATCCTAATGTCCAATACACAGCCCCAGGTCTATGGGCACGTTTTCCCAGTTATTGATATATCCACACCTCCTTATAATCACTTTGTAGATGTGATTAAAGCCAAAGGCTGAATATTACCAGCTGAGCTAGAGATTTTCTACTGAATTCAGAAGTGGTCCAAAAATGACCTTCGGCTCATTCTGGTTCTTTGATGCTAGCCTTTGCTATTTCCTTCCAAGGGTTCAAACACTTCAGTTGTGTCTTCTTATTAATAACCTGACAGCTATTCTCTTGTGCATAGCCATTTAGTCAGCAAGCTGGGGCAACGGGTATACCTTAATATTCGACATCTCACCATATGTCAACGTGTTGTGGATCTTCTTTCTGACAGCGAGGACAGAAGTGTGTCATTCTGTTATTGTCTCCTAAGCGACACACAGTTCTGCCACAGCAGTGACCACAATAAGGACGCTTGTAAACCTTAAAGTGTTTAGAAACAGCAAATCCTGCTTTATGGCACTAAAAAACAAATAAATAACATTGTAATGATTTCTATAAAGCAGGGTTGCTAAAAGCCAGAAAATAAATTCTTGAAAGTAATTTCTGAAAATAATTCTTAAAAAATTTTTGTATATATGTCCATATAATCTTTTCTGTCATCTGAGAAAAAGGTATTGGCAAGATTCAGCAATATTTGTCAAATAAGATTTGTGTGAAATTATTAAGTCATTATTTTATTACTTGTTAGTGTTCAAAATTGTTCTTTGAAAAGCTTTACCCTCTTATCTAAATGGGATATGAGTTCTGTAATTTAAAATGTCTTTCATGCTTCTAAGGTTTTTTTTTTTTAAATTAAGCATAATTATGTAGTTAAAAGAAAAAGACTACATTAGCTTTAAATCTGATTATTTTTAGAACACTGGAGCTGCACTTTGTTTCAACAGCCAACAGAAAATTGAACAAGATTGTCTTCTTTGTTGCCCTGACCAAGGAGAGTGTTTAGTTTTTCATCTTGCAGATTCACTTAACAAAGAAGATGAAAATTCAAAGGCCATCCTAGCAAAGCACATGTTCCATTTTGGTGTAAGCTCTATTTCAAAAGACATTGGATATTCCCTGTCACAGTTTTATTCTGCTCACATACATTTAAAGCTCCTCCAAAAGAATATTCTGGGTTTACATCAGCAGCGTGAACATTTTAAAGCCCAGAAATATGGCTCAGTATAAAGAAGCTTAAAATTACGCAAACTACTTACAATAATGTAAGCAAAGTGTTGAAATGACCAAATTAAGCTGGGCAGAAAATGGGCAGTTGTCTACAATTATCTTTCCTTGGAAGAATAAGTGACCATATATATTACGAAAATAGCCGTAGATACTCAAGGCAGATATGTAAAGCAAGAGGTTCATTAACATGTTGAGGCAACTAATGAAGAATTCCACAATGCCTGCCTTTCTGAACACAGTAAAAAATAAAACTTTTGAACACAGAAACCAGATTGCAGAGAACAAAATTTTGATACTTGGTTTAAAAGATAAAATGTGTTTATTGAACTCTGTATATATGCATATTCATGTATGTGTATATATATAACTTGCAAAATCTATAGTTTAGCAAATATTTCATCCTCAAAACAGTCTTTGTGGTAATCAATATTGTTCCATTTTATAGATGAAGAAACTAAACTTAAAGCTGTCTAAATAATCTCAACCACACAGAACATAGTGGCAAAATCTGAACTGAAGTCCATTTAAAGAAAGTACATCAAGTCAAATGCTAACAGAGTGGCTCCCCAACTTAGCATAAAGATGCTTTAACGTAATAACAGACAGGGTTGGACCGACCCACGGCCTAAATTTCAAGATGTTAATCAGGCCCCGAACGGGGCGCTCCTCGTTATTGCACTTCTATGCTCTCGCCACTAGATGGCTATCCACTGCTTGGACGTTGCTGGTGTAATTGAAAGGGAAACAATTGACATTTTACATAATTGAAAACTAGTTGCTCTTACCCGGTAAAAAAGAACGCTGAAATCCCGTATCATTTTCACGAGGTGATGGATCTGTTCATCTGTTAACTGAGAAACCTTAAAATAGAAAAACGACTGAGGAGAGTTTCCTCATGTGTTCACTAGAGAAAAACAATACCATTTGCAGTTCTAAGAGAACTGTAAACAGATTTAAAATACATACCTATCCTTTAAAATTCCATTTCTCATATCCCTACTGAGTGTCATTAACAGCAGTTTTAGTTTTAGGTGACAGTACTACAAATAAAAAAGTTATTTATACACTTAATTCTAAATTCAAGCATTTATTGACTATCCCTTCTGTAGAAGACATCTTCAAAGTCCCAGCCCTGCCTGTCAGTCGCCTTAAAAAGTTTTGCTGGGTTTGCAAAAATATTAGAGAAAAAGGATAGAAAAGAGAAAGAAGGAAAGCGGAGCAAAATAGGCACAAAAGTAGATGCCCTCCCCCGTCGCTATCGGGATTTAAAAAGACAGAGTTCATTTACACGCATGAACATCCAAGTCCTCATTAACACGCGGAAGGACTCGCAGACCGGCCCCGCCGCCACGCGGCCCCGTGGTGCAACGCCCCGCCGCGCCGCGCGTGTCAGTCTGCCCCTGGGAGAAATTAACGCCCGCGGGGCCCAGGCGGGTTCCCGGGGGACCTCCGAGGACACTCCGCTGATGGCGCACCCTGGTGGTACGACGGACAGGAGGAGTGTCTCTGCAGGTACATGCAGCAGGAACTCATTTGTCAATGACGCTAATATCGAAAGTCATCTCATCCACAAAGTCATTCCAAAAGGATTCTATACATTTTCAATTATTTTCTGAAGTTTAAAACTTTGGTGCTTCTCCCACGCATTTTTTTGTTTTTTTCCCTTACCGTATCTCGTATACTATATTCAGTTATGCCTTGAAATGTTCAACTGCTTGTTCAGTAATTCTATGTGCGATTTTACGGGGCTAATAGCTAAGCTTCAGAAATGTCATTAATTTTTAAGCCCTTACGCATTTTAGGCCAATGAGCTGTTCCTAGATGAACAGTTGGGTGGCTCTACAGATAAAAAGTAAATGATCAGTTTATCATGGATAACACTACTAGTCTAGGTAACAATATTCGGGGGTGTTTTTTTTTCCTCCCAGAAACATTTCCCATAGAGGTCTAGGTGACTTTTAAAAGCCTGTTGTTAAAATTCTGTTTCATTACTCTCATATTACAGAAATGTGACTAGTTTGTTTCAAGTGTCACAAAGCAGAACCTAATATAGAACTATCATTAACTGGTTTCTTTTAAAACTTATTTCCCACTGATGTGGATTTTATGAAAACTGTCCAGGAAATAATTCCACAAAATAAAAAGGTGTTTTTGGATTCATGCAGAAAATAAGACTCAGTAATAGCCACCATTTGGGTCTGGACCCAAGTTGTAATGGACAGACCTTCCCTGGAAATGAAAATATCCCTCCACCTGGCTTAAGGTCTAACCTCTCTGACCTTTCCACAACTTTGTCCTGTTTCTGCAATTTTAATCTCTCACTTTTTACCACTATTTTTCTCTCAGCACATAAATAACCACATCTCTCCAGTTGGAGAACAAGGGGAAAAAAAAAAAACCCAAACAGTTCTTATCCTCACATCTTCCCCTGGAAGTCTAGTATTTTCCCGTCACTCCAGACTAAGCTATTTTCACGAGTACTCCTAATTTCGTGTCCAGTTTTTCACTAATTGCTCATTCCGTTCCCTGACTTCCATTCTTATCATTTCACTGAAACTGCATTTTCTAATACATAGGAATTGGGGGTGGGGGGCGGGGGTGTTGGATGTGAATAGAATATACCAGATACAAAAAGAGAGTTGGGAGCTGAGTTCATTCATACATTCAACAAACATGTCTTTCATGCCAACCCCGTGCCAGACACGGCATCCTACATGCCCGGACACATGGATGAACGGAGACACCGCGTCCTCCTAAGAGACTGCGTTCTCGCAGAGGAGGTAGATTTCTGAACAGTAAATACAGCAAGTAAAGATTAGACAACGTTTAAAAGCGATCCATGGCGTGGGGAAAAGAAAAAGCAAAGCGGGTTAGGGAGGGCAGGGCGTCCGCATTGGGAGGCGGGGAGGCAACAGCGATTTTGGCAGCGGGGTCAGGGCTGGCCTCACAGAGAGACGGGAGAGAGCCAAGACCCCTGAGGCCTGTGCCGGGAGAACAGAGTGAGCTGGGGGGGTCCCTTAGCAGTATTTAAAAATACAGGCACCCCTTAAACAATGCGTGTGACCTACCTGCGCAGCGGGGTGGAGACCGCTGTGGAAGAGGCCTTCGTTTTTGATGATGTTGCCCACGCCGGGCAGCACTCTCTGATCCAGCAACACTTCGCAGAGCATCCGACCCGCCTGCTGTCTCACTTCCCTCGCAGCTCGGGAGCAGCGGAATTTAGGTGAGCACACATCTAATTCCTCCATCATTCGTACCCTCCGTTGGCTCTCGGTTGTGTTTCTGTAGGAAGGGATACAAGACACATTAATCGTACATCTGGTTATGACGTCACAAAGTGCCACTGAGAAGGAGCTTTGATAGAAATGTAACCCCACGACCTATATTATTTGAAGGCTCTCTTAAAATGAGGTTTTATCCATTATAAGCCTTTTTAAAAAAATTTCATTTATCTCCACCTGTGGGACCCCAGACCAAACTATAGCTCCAACTCTTAAAGATTTGTAGCTGACACGCTTTTATTTCATTTTATTTTTCACCTGAGTTCCACCGACGAGTCAAAGAAACAAATCAAATCTTGGGTGAGCTGGACTTCCAACACAGGAGAAACTCCATTTTTATTTTTATACTCAAGCGAATTAATTGTGATGGAGCCTTTCATTCCAAAATGAATCCTGAAACAAAATCAAACCCATTTTTGAGTGGCAGAAAGTATACCATGTATCAAATTTTTGTTCCTTCTCTTCACTTTCTGGATTATAAGCAAACAAATGTTAGTCAGGATAGGCGCTTTGAAAGGGCAAACAATGGTAGCTAACATCATATATTTTGCTGATATGGCTTTGTACATTTATAAAAACTAGAAGATATGACAATCAGTTTTTCAATCCACAAATACAATAAATTCTTAGAGAAAGAATAAGGCCTCAAAAAATAAGCCCAAGAAAACATACCTTTTTCTACTCTTGTCAAATGAAACATCTTTTATTCACACAACAGTCTAGCATCTCTCAAGCTTTTTCTCAGATTCAAAGGCTTGGGATGAGATGAGGCTAAATTTAAATTGACTACAGTTTGTGTTTTTATAAATTCTACAAAGCCACTAACATTCAAAGTTCTTATTTCTAGCCACAATGGATTGGAAATGTTTACCCACTCCAGAATGATATCTACAGTTTAAGACACATAAACTCTTTTCATCCCCTCTGCTTTGGGATGCGTAATAAAATGATGTTTTGCAAAATCTTACACATCAAAAAAAAAAAAAAAAGAAAACTCAAAATGGTATTGTCTTCAATTCTCCTAGTTTTCTTCTACCTTTATATGTATTGCGAAGAGGGGATTTATAAATGTTTATGGTTAACTTGATAGCCACAATGCGGTTATAAAAAATTCATAACCTTTCAGTTTTTATAGGATGGATTAGCATGTCCACTAAAAAAAGAGAAAGAAAAAAATGAAAATGGTTTTATGAGACCTCTGATGAAGATCAAAAATGATTCTTGAGATGAAATACTGTGTTCTGCCTTTCAAATCCTTCTCCTTATGGCTTCGTTGAGTTAATAAATATGGCTCTTTTGGCAGCAAATGTTACTGCTCTGTGCTTCTAATTCCAAAGCACCGTGTTATAGTATAGTACAAGGTTAACCCGTCTAACTTTAAAAATGTGGGTTTTAAACTCTGTGTGCCCCACTATCAATCATAAATGCATTTTACATGCCCACAGTTCTTGACAGGGAAAATGTGTGCCTATAAGTACTCCATAATTTAGTTTATGGAGGTTCGACCCCAGTGAAAAGTGTACAATGGTCATGCCCAGAAGCCAGCATATCTAGAATCTTCTCAGCCCACATGGCTCATACAGTGGATTCTAAATCACTTCCATAATGAAACTGCATCCACATAAAAGCATCTCAAAGGTTAAGACCCAACTGAAATGCAGGAGTAGCCCCAGGAAGAGCCCTGACTCAGGGAGTCCGCCTTCTGCGGTCTTCTACCTAAATCTGTTCCATTTAGGGTGAAGTACGCATGAAAGGAGACTATTTTTTATTTTATTTTTGTTAAATAACGAAAGGTTGTCATAATTGAGCCCCAGCAAACCCACAAATTGTGTGCGTTTATTGTTGGGTCCCTTTTAACGTAAACAGAGGAAACGAAGCATCGTGAAAAATTCTGAGGCGCCTCGCGCGTGTCGCGTTCGTCGCCAGCCTGGAGTTTTGCAGACCCGGGCCGCGGCTCACAGGCAGGAATTCGGTTTGCTTCTCGGCGTTCCGCATTCTAAGAAGCTAGTTTAGGAAAGTTTAAAAATTGTTTTATTGATTGATTTTAGAGACAGAGGAAGGTAAAGGGCAGTAGAGAGGGAGAGGGAGGGCGCGCGCACCATTTTGGCGTTCTGCTTATTTACGTGGTCACTGCTTGATTTCTGCATGTGCCCCGGCCGGATATTGAGCCCGCAACCTTGATGTATCTAGACAACGCTCTAACCAACTGAGGAGCTCGGCCAGGGCAGGAAAATTTTATTAGAATCTTATTTCTACCTGCCCATCCTCTCCAGATCCCTCCACCCGCCACCCCCCGGCCAGTGGGCCCCCAGAGATCATTCCATCCGCCTGACCATGGGGAGGGTTAGGCCCGGCCGGACGTGTTCTCTGCCCCTTGCCCAGACACAAGTGGCTCCGGAAAGGACACCTGAGTCACACGGGATTCGTCAGCGTTCTCCTGATGATCTTACGGATTTCGGACACAGAGAGATCTGCTTCTTTGCAGTCTGGGGGGCCCTGACACGGGCGCGATGGGTGGCTGTGATTCCCAGCGTGGACACCAGAGAAGGCCGGAGGCCTGTGTGCAGAGGGGAGGACCGCGGCAGGTGGCTGCTGCGGCCGGACGACCAGTTGCCCGAACAAGTAATGTCCCCAAAAGACAAGTCGGCCTGCTGTGCAGACTACAGTAGGTATTCACTACTATAAAATACTGAATATAGTTAGAATCTTTATCACACTTCTTTCCTGGCCAACATGTGAAATGACAGATTACAAAAACCTATGTCTAAACAGTAAAACGCTTTTGTAAGCAGCGTCTGATGGATTCCATAAAGACTTTCTTTAGCACGCTAAAAAGAATTGTCACATTATCTCTTGCATATCTGTCTAGAGGATCATATCACTTAAACTGCAATAAATTGCAAAATCGATAAGGTATAAAGCTCCTCTAGAATGGCACAGCCTCTAAAATATTTCAGACATAGTTTCTGAGCATGTATGGTAATTGCTAACATTCAGAGTCATACACATCACGAACTGGAAATAGCAAAGTGTTTTGGAAAGAGAGGTTCATTAAAAATATATATCTTTTAAATGTTGGTGCAAGATGTAACAGCTGTGTTCATCTTAACCGCCAACAGCAGCTTGGGGCGTGGGGGTGTCAGGGCGAAGAGCTGTATGGTGCGCCCCCCGCCCCCGCGGCCCATGCGGGCAATACGTGCAACCGCAGCTCACAGGGATGGCGCTGGGTAGTGGGATGGCGAATGTGCACATTTATTCTTGTTTGTTCTGTATTTCTCAGTTTGCTCTAATGAGTATTCATTACATGTGGAAAAAAATTAAAAATGCTTTGTTTGTTATACCTGAAGAGCTTCTGGACAGCGTTCTGAAGAAGTATAGGTATTGATCACACACACCACAACTGTACGTCTAAAACCAGTGTATATCAGATAATTTGTGGTCCTCTATGGTGCTATTACGCGCACTCAAGCGCTGTGATACATCTTTCCGGAAGACCAATAGTCACTGTCTAATTTGTATCTTTGGATATTTACGTGGCACAGTCTCTGACCGAGGGCTATGCCTGATTTCTAGTTTCACATCCAAAGCCCCCCAGGGGAAGATTCACAGCCTGCCCTGGAAGAAGCACTCAAACCCCAGAGCAATTTTAATTGTGCAAAGCCGCGCCTTCAGGGAAAACTGCGAGCTATTAACTGAAGCACAAGCACATTTCCGGGAATACACTCTCTACAGGGCGGCTGGCCCGGCGGGCAGAAAACAAGAGTCAAAAGCAAAGACTGCATTTCTATCTCCCGCTCACAGGCGCGCCAGCTCACACGACAGTCCCATTTCTGTGACAGAGGCCTCGCTCTCCCGCAAAGCGCCAGTCGGAGCGCAGTTTTTTAACTTCATTGTGAAACGGGCTACACTTGAGTTTGGGATGCTCGGTTCATATTCCAACAGCTGATCTGCCATTGACGTGAATTGTTATATTGGATAGTCGCTGAGGCTATAGGGGATTGAAAGGAGGCAGCCCTGGACTCCCCACCCCCCCCGCCCCCGGCACACACCCAGAGGTACGCCCCCTTCTGGGAGTGGCACCATGTCCTTAGTGTAAAGAGCCACTGCCCCTTGTCCCCTTCCTGACAGCCCTGTACCGAGAAGCGCGGCCCCTTCTCAGTCTGGCGGGGGAACCCCGGACGAAAACCACAAATGAATCTGCACCTAAGACCAGAGAACCAGGAACGCATCAAGGTCTGAACCGCTCTCGCACGGGTCTCGTGGTGTCCCGCTCGGTGCAGCCCACCACCAGGTCACCGTCTGCAGCAGTGTGTGAACCGGAGGCATGCGCTGATGTTGTCACCTCCAGACGGGAGGCCACAATGCTGTCCACGGACAGCCGCTGCTGACAGTGGAGAACACCTCCAAAGACAAGCAATGATGTAAACCGCTAAAGTCCTCTAAACACGTGGCAAATGAGATGCAATAAATAACAATCCTATTGTCTCTCTGTCATAATATAGTCGCATATCATCTCCTTATGACCATTATTACCTTCAGTTAAAAGCATGGAGTCTAGTCATGGGACTTTTCTGTTAAGATTAAAACTGTTAAACATCTTAAGGGAACATTCAAAACACTCAAGGAAGCAGCGCCAGTCTTTAGGCTAAACTCTGGGAAGACCGAGACTGGATAGGCATATTTCATCCTGGGGCCTTTCTCATTTTTCTGCAGAAATTAATAGGTGATCACACTCTGGCAATGGCATAGATTTCAACATTTTCATTATTAAGTCAACCGAGCCAGTAGATTGCGCGGCCTTCCTTGCCCACAACTTAGCAGTGAGTTTCCGTAAGCACTGTGGATACTGGGGAACCTGGTCCTTCCGAGGAAAGTGTTTGAACTCTGTAAATAAGTTCCCAGTTCCGCCCAAGCCTTCAGAGAAAGAACGCAAGCAGAAAAATATAAAAATCTAGCGAAACATTTAAACCCAGGAACTGTGATAACTATCAAGAAACGGATGGTGCTGATGCCACGAACATTTGGAGCCACGAGAGGGGAGAAGAGCCGTCGGGGAGTCCAGAGGAGAGCAGAGCCGAGCTGTGCTGCTGCGCTATCTCCTAGGAAGCCCTCCGCGCCAACCCATTTTTTAAAAAAAGAAATACATTGACTAGCGCTCCAAATCACAATGGCATCACAATTTATTCTTCTGCTTATTGCTTTCCAAGATAGAAGCTCAACCGCTTCCATTACAGAGCTCTGAAAAGCAGAGGATTTCTGCATGATTCACTGTGACACCCGGCAAACTGCAAGCACAGCCTCCACCCAACGTTCCACAGAGAGGCGATGAGTCTTGTACGCGTTTATCTCACCGTAAAGCCACGGGGCCAAAGTACATGAAGAGCTCCTTTCCCAACGTCTCCACGCCGCTGTACACGGATCCGCTCAACAGGCTTGCGGCGAGCTGGCTGGAACCTGCCCTCTCGTTCATTGGGGCGGCCTGGAAGAAAACACATAGACACGTGGGCACACACACAGAATCTCCACCCAAAATTACAATTTAATTCTTAAATGTGTTTCTGTTCCTCCTGCCCAGGTGCATCCCAACGATGACAATTATCTCCAGCAAGTCAAGGTAATCAGCTGTTTGCAAACACTTTGTCCAATCACTACACAGTCCTTTAAAAAAAAAGAAAGGCCGAAGAAATTAGGTGACAAGAAAGTAATCGGCACACAATCAAAATGAGATTCTTCCAGGACAACATAGCTCTGCATAGATGAAATGGAAACATAGAAAAATGATGTGAATGTCTTAAAACTAACTGTTAAAATACAGTCTTCCATGTCCAGATGTAGAGCCAAGGTTCTCCAAGGAACATTCAGATCAAGGCAATTAAAAAGGGTGGATAACATATGACAAAACACAGGGTCCAGCACAAATAACGCCTTTTTTTTTTTTTTTTTTACAAAATCTTAAGCATGTCATTCTGTAACATAACAATGTCACACGCAAGCACACCATAGGACACTGTAGGTGAGATGTGCAAATTAAAACTATCAATTATTACACCCGTATTATGACCCTACCATCCCCACTCGAGCAGGCGTTGCTTCTGCCGGACCCTGCATTCTGACCCGCAATGGTGAACTCATAAGCCAGCAAAAGCAGCAGCACTGTGAAGCCAGCTCTCCTCAGAGAGGCCTTTACAGGCCCTAAGGAACGAGAGCGTCCGTGGGCAGCGGCGTGTGGGCCTCAGGGAATCAGAGATAAACCGTGGTCCCCGGACAGAGGACTCTAAGAGGAGGCTGCCCCTCTCTCCCTCCCCAACAATGTTAATGATAAAGGAAAATGAAACCCACTCTCCCTTCCCCTCGCCCCCACGTGGAACCAAAGTGCACCTGTTAGGGTCACAGTCAATGCACGGGACACCGAAGGCGACCTCAGAAACTGTAAACATCAGGCGCCAGCCCTTCTACGGGTGAGGGAGAAGGGTGGGTGGGGTTTAGACACTGGTCATGTCCTCCTCAAGCTGGGCAGTAGGTACACGGGTGTTGTTTATATCATTTTTAATTCTTGAGAGATGTATGGTAAGTATTACTTAACTTGTACTCAAAATGTAAGAGAAATTATATACTGTCACAAATGCATGACTGTTATATTAGACACAATAGGTAATATCCACACTTACTTCCAACTTCTATTTTTCTCAAACAGACCAAAGGATTCTCACGAGATCCCAGTGAAATCTTGGTGGGCGCAGAGTGGGGTGGGGGGTGTTAGGGGATAATTAGAAAACAGTTTTGGATACAGTCCAAGGGCAAATCACAACTTTCCCTTCATTCACGCGAGGATGGTATTGTCCAGCGATTCTCAGACTTTTGGTCTACAGGCACCTGTCAATCTAAATATTTAAGAAAATGTGCCCACTCTAGTCTCTAGTTTACTAAATCAGCCCTTTTTTAGAAAGGCGCACTGCAGTGTTCAGTTCAAGGGGACAAAGGGATAAAAGGTGGATTTCTTTTTAAATGTCAGGGACTGAATGGTGTCCCCTCAAATATTGCCGCGTTGACCCCCTCACCCCTGTATGGCTGTCTTTGAAACAGGGCCTTTAGGAAATAATTGAGGTTCAATGAGATCACAGGGTGGGGCTCTGACCCAATGGGACTGGTCTCCTCACAAGAGGAGTCACCAAGGAGCTAGCTCTCTTCTTCCTGGCTACTCAGAGGAAAGGCCACATGAGAAGCAACGGCCTTCCGCCAACCCCGGGGGAGCGTGCTCACCAGACACCAAAGGAGCCGGAACCTTGATCTTGGACTCACAGTTTCCAGAACTGTGAGAAAAACAAATTTGTGTTTAAGCCACCCAGTCTATGGTCTTCTGTTGTGCGAGCCCAGGCAGACTAAGACAAGGACAGATGCTATCCTTCTACGAACGCCATTCCCCATCGGCACGGCTGCAGCCGATGCCAGAACTCGCCGACGGCCTGCAGGTCAGGCGGCTGGGGTCCTGCCCCTCCTGTCCGCAGGGGGGACTGGGGAATCCATCACAGGCTCATAGTGACCAATGAACAAACACACAGGAGGGCTTCAAAGCGGAGCCTTCCTCTTCAGCACAAACCACAGGAAGAACCGCTGGGAGACTCTAGCATCAGGGACTCCAGGTACACACGTTACCATGGGCTCAGAACACCTGCGCCTGGGGGCTCGGCTCTTCCTCGGAGGAGCCCTACGACCTGTCCCTGATCACCAAGCACCGGTGTGGCACCGCTGAGGCCTCAGTGGGGGAAACACATGCCTTGACATTTGCCTTGTTTTTATCAAGGGATCAGGTAGAGCCCTGCACTGAGAAGCACAAAGAGTCTAGATGTGTTTCCGCCTCACAAAAGACCTTACGCTGCCACTTCTGTACGCGTCAAGCCAAGTGCAGATTAAGATGGTAGGTGTCAATGCAGGTTTCCATGACAACCAACGAGCAGGTGAAAAGTTCTCATAAACTAGTCAGGGCACTTTTAAGATGATGATGTACAGACCAGAGATGGAGCTGTTCTGGGTGAACTTTGCCCCAACATAGCCTGGGTCTTACATTTTTAGATTCTCGAATAGAAGGTGTCTGTGGCGTTGGACCCCTCCATTTCCTAACTGGTGGCTCACAGCCTTGTCCCCGCACCCCACTCCAATGTCAACGAGCTCTGATCCTCTCCCAGCATTCTTTCCAAACGACCCTTTGACCATGTCCTCTGGCTTCTGTTAGGGTTCCCAGCAGAGGCTGGGTGGGGAGCAGGATCCCACCCTGTACAGCCCGCCCCAGGCTCCACAGCGGCTGCCCCTGCTTCTTGCTCGGGAGGATATTTGTGACTATGGTCATTCTGGTTAATCTCCCTTCAATTTTTAATTTCGCGAGTTAAATCTGAAACTTAACACCAACGCAAGATGTTGGAAAAGGCCACCCTGTGCGGTCTGTCACATCCGTCCACCCCTGCACCTGAGCCTCACTTTCAGGGAGACAAACAGCCATTGCGGCTCACGCTGGCTGTCTTGCCTTGTGAGGCATGTTCCTATGTCCTGTTTAAGCATGTACATGTCGATGGCCCTGAGGTATGCCCTCCACTTTCCTTATTTCAGACCCCGGGGGTGGGGGGCGGTCCTTCCACGACAGCACAAAGTGGGGTGCCTGCCATCATTGGGGACCGATGCGTGGCGAGGGCCTGGATCTTGTGTGCTCTCTTTCCTTCGGCTGTAAACATGCAGCCCTGGAGTGTGTGGAATCTCTTCTCAGCAACGTGGAATCAGGCCCTGGTTTCTTCCAGTGGCACTTACCTGACCTTTAACCTTATAATATATAACATAACATAACATAATATATAACACTCACGTTATAGTCTATTTTCTTTGGCACAGTCCGACCGCGCAGTCAACAGTGAAACGCAGTACCTGATTGGCCAACTGACAACCTCCCTGTCGGTGGCCACTCGCTGTTGCTCATCGTACTGCCTTGCATCCGATCGCCCTGCTCTGCTCCTTCCCAAAATGGGAAGCCACACGACGGCTGCTCTCCGTCCACGACTGTGCCCTGCGCAGCCCTCTCCCCGCCCTGAACTCTGACTTCGCCGTGTTTTCCCTTGGCTCCTGGCAAAGAGTCAGACAAGGTAACCTTGAAGTAGATGCTGCTGTCACAACACCTAGCCAAACAGTAAATGAGGCCCAACTGTCTCATGTGAAGTCGGCTCACGTCGCTAAATGAACAGCTTTGACAGGAACTTACACCAGTGAGTCGAAAGCTCTCCCAATCAACAACGATCATCGTTCATGTCATTCACTTGGCTGTGTCTACAGCTTTGACATTCTGAGAACGAGGTGCTGTGCGCCATGTGGAAAGACACCCTGCTCGTTAAAAATGCACCATGCCTCGCATCCGCCCTTGTTAGAAAGGGCTATTGACCTTCCCCCAGGTCTGAGGCCTTACTCTAGATGCTGGGGATGTGTCAATGGAGAGAAAAAAAACAACAATAAATTTGCCTTCAGAAAGTTTATATTCCACTGGGGGAGAGAGTAAACAATAAATAGAATAACAATGTATTAGGACATCTGGAAAAGGAATTGAGATGAGAAAGAGATCAGGACTAGGGGAGGGCGTAGCAGGCTGCAGTGTTAAATGGGGCGGGTGGTCAAAATCTCACTGGGAAGATGGTACTTGGGCACATCTTAAAGGAACTGGGAGTGAGCCACATGTAGGCACCAGGAATGGTGATTGATACACATGTCCTACGGCAGAGTGTTCCTGTGGACCAAGAAACAGCCAGCAGGCGGGTGGCCAGGACACAGAGGACAGAGAAGACAGTAGAGAGATGGAGGCAGACATAATTAGAAACAGGTCATGTGCTCTGCGAGGTCCGTAGTAAAGGACTGGCTTTTTCTCTGACAGAAGTAAGGTGGAGAAAAGATAGTTTCTCCATTACTTTTTGGATGGCCCTTCTGACTGCTGGGTAGAATCATGGCTAAGGGATCAAGGGCAGGAGCAGAAAAGGCACTTGGGAGGCTGCCGTGACAACCCAGACAAGACATAAAGGCGACCTGGGCCAGTATCCGGATGCATTTAGGAACTGGAACAAGGAAGGTTCGCTAGTGCTGGACTATGGGAGGTGTTTGCTCTGAACAACCAAAAGACAGGAGTGCTGTCAAACGGGGTGAAGAGGATTCGGGTGGAACAGGATGGGAGAGGAAGGTCCGGGATTTGGTTTCAGACAAGTTAACGTTGAGATGTCTGTAGACACGTAAGTGGAGAGGTTGCATAGGCAGCTGAATGTGAGCCTGGACTTCAGGAGGGAAGTCTAGGATGGAGATACAAACTTGTCTAATGATCAGCATGCCAATAGCTTCTAAACCTTTAAAACTGGATGAAATCAGCAAGAGTTACTAGGACATAATATTGTGATACTGGGGAGAAGAGGAGGAGGAACCAGAAAAGGAGACTCAGAAGGCAGCCAGCAGGGCAGGAGAAAA